CAACTTCTGTGTTTGTGTTTGTTTGAGAGTGAGTGTGTGAGTGAGAGAGGGATCCGAGTTCTCTCTGTTTGTGTGTGTCTGTTTGAGAGAGGGGGGAGGGAGGGAGAGAGGGAGGAAGGAAGGAGGGGAAGGGAGAAGAAAAAAAAATGGGAAAACTTATTTTGCAAGGGGGAAAAATGCTGTCGCTTTAAATCGGAACTGAGCATGCCTGGCTGTGGAATTCTGGGAGTTGAGGTCCACAAGTCTAAAAAGTGCCTCACCAGCCATAAAGCTGACCACACATCACTGCCGTCATGCAGTGCCAAGGGCTTGAACTGTGGGAGTACTGGCCAGTGTCTTTAAGCCACTGTCCACTGTGTTCCCTATAGTAATCCAGTTAATAAGATACATACTTGAATTATCTTAACCGTCCTTTTTTAATTTATTCGATGATCACCAAAAAAAAAAAAGGAAAATAAAAGAACACAAAAGCAATCGATAAATGAGAATGCAAAACCTTCCTGCATAGTTTGGAAAGTCGGTAAATGCATGCACAATTCAAACATTTTAAACATTCATAGCCAATAGTCCTAACCAAGCTATCTTCCAATACCTCAACCATTTCACAAAAATGAGCAACTCCTCATAGATAATATGTATTCTTCAACCATTCCAGATACTGATCCTGAGATCATATTCATCCAAGGAGACAGAAGCAGTGAAATGTGTATATTGATGACTCCATCTTATGTACATGTTTATATATACCATATTTTGGGGAGTATAAGACCCACCTTTTTCTTCCAAAAAAGAGGGTGAAAATCTTAGTGCATCTTATATACTGAATACAGCATTTTTGGCCTCCCGAAACTCCACCCTGTGCATCCTGTTTTTCGCAAAAATGAACATGCAGAGGGTTTTGGAAGCCTGCAAAGTGCTCATGGGGACTGGGGAGGGCAAAAATAAGTGAAAATGGCCCCGTTTTTCACAAAAATGGGGCTGCTTTGCCCTCCCAAGCCCCCAGAAGCACTCTGCAGGCCTCTGGTGCATCTTTGCAAAAAACAGACTTGTTTTTGTGAAAAACAGGCTGTTTTTTGCTCGTTTTTGCCCTCCCCAGCCTCCAGGAACACTTTGCAGGTCTCTCAAACTCTCTGCACACCCAGTTTTTCATACAAAAAATGTGCATGCAGAGGATTTGGAAGGCCTACAGAGTGTTCTTGGGGGCCGGGAAGGGAGAAACGTTTTTTTTAAATTTACCTCTTCAAAATTTTGGTGCGTCTTATATTCCGGTGCATCTTATAGTCCAAAAATATGGTATTTGTGTGCAACACTGTGACATAAAAATAAAAGGCCAGAGTTTATTTGTGTAAGTCCTCATTTGGGCATCATCATGGTTCAAAATAATGCCTGAGATGACAGTCCTTAAAGCCACTACAACCTGATTTATTAAAGCAAGAATTAAAAATGCTCCCAGAACTCACGGTTGCCTGTGAATGACTTATGTACACGACACTCAGATTCCTTGTTTAGGGATGAGTCCATATAAATGGAAGCAATATCCTTTGGCATTTGGGATACACTTCATTCCCTTAGATAGGGACCCCTAGAACACACAGCGGGACTCTACACAAAAGGTAAATTACTTTGTGGAGAAGCGTCTAAGTAAATGAGACATGCAACCATGCATTTTTGAAGTAGATCCGACATGCCAGATGGCCAATCCGAATGCTACATGTAAGCTGAAAAGAGTTCTAACCTCTTTCTCTCTTTGCAATCTTCTAGGATCTTTTCTAGCCTTTTTCCTCTGTTTTTTCTTATTTTTTTCTTCCTCGACTTCTGTGACCAGGACCACAGCTCCCTTGACTATTTCTGGGGCGTGTGCTGTATGAACACTCATTGACCAATCAGAGATGGCATCTGGATTCCAATAGGGGCTTGCGGGATTAGCAGGGAGAAGGAAAAAATTACTTCGTGGGGTTTCATAGTCTAGAGAACTGGCTTCCACAGGCTGAAATTCATAATAATCCCATTCAAGGTCACTGGAGGTCATTCTTCAATTAATGATTAGGTCTTTAACAATATGTTAACGATCAACATCTGTAGAACATGAAGTCAGCATTTAAAATATTCTACCACATTTAACAAGTTTCTTTACATCATCTGGCAGAGGACGCTGTAATTATGAGGATACTGGTCACAATGATTTGTTACTTGTTGAGATCAGTAGCTTGAGATAGGTATATATGCTAGATAATAAATACATGATTTATAGTTGGATATCTACAAATAATTACTTCTAAGACTTAGTGTAGGGGTGTCAAACTCGCAGCCCACAAGCCAGATGCGTCACGCACTGGCCAGGCCCTCCCCTGGTTTAGCGAAGGGGGGAAAAGTTATGATACGTAAAGTTACGACAACGTGATAGCGCGAGTTTGACACCCGTGGCTTAATGGGGGGGGGGGAATCAAAATAAAAGACAGCCTCTTGAAAGTTGATAGTGTTAGTTATCTTGGTTGCTGCAAGACATCATTATTACCATACTTATGGGCAAATGTGGGAGTAGCATTACTGAGCCATGACAGTCCTCACTCAATTTGTATGTCTCTGGCCCAATAAGTGCCACTCACTTTGACTATCCTACAGGATTGCTCTAAGGATACATTTGAGGGAGGAAAAACATGTACATGAGCATAAGCTCTCTGAAGAAATTGTTGAGTAGAAAATACAATTAATGAAAGAGAGTCCAAATATGTATAACTAATCCATTAAAGTCTTGATCTAAAAGAAGATAGATAATTTGTGCAACACTATACTTTATCAAAAGCAGCAAAGTACTGGGATGCTACAGAAAAAAGAGAATGCCATTATTTAACCAAATAAATAGTAATCATTTTCAAGTTAAGATCACTTGAGTATCTTCATCGACTAATTAACTTTTGATCTAAGCTCAACAACATGGCTGGAAGAAATGCTACCCAGATTTAATAATAATAATAATCAAGATTCTGTAACTACCATGGACAGTAACAAAACCGCCATTTTTGTATATATGCATTCATTATTTTTGTAAAGTTGAAAATGGCCAAGCTTAATCGACAAAGGGTGTAACTAATCAATCATGAACCCCCTCTTGCCAAAGTTTCTTAGTTCCATGCAGTAATGATATGCACTAATGCATTGCTATAAATACAAACCTCCTTGGACTATGTTTCACCCTTTTAATGCAACTGCCAGGGGTGTAGACATTGACCCCTCGAACACAGCCAAACAGAACTTGCAGTGAAAACATTAATTGGCATTTTGGCCTCTTCAAAGTAGAAATGTTTCTCAGGGAAAAATAAATCAGCCTCATCCAATGTCCTTAATGGAAGGGCAAATGCATTTTTTTTTAAAAAAATGTCTAACATGCTTCCAACAGATTATAACTAGTCCTTAATCTACCTCTACTCATTTCTTCCTGCAACTACTTAAAAAAAAAATATCTGGGAAACATTCATTTTTAGGCTTTTGAAAAGAACGCCTAATCTGCATTGTCATCATACTTGCTAATGCAGGGTGTCAAACTGGCAGCCCACGGGCCAGATGTGTCACACGTAGGTCATGCCCACCCCAACTCTGCAAAGGGGGAAAACGTCACGTGAGAGCAACGTGACGCTGCAAGTTTGACACCTATGCGCTAATTTCTCTTGCAGGTTCACCCACAGAAGCTTGGAACCAATTTTTAAAAAAATGTATTTTCCAGGCAAACATAGTTTCCACAGTGAGCCACACGTAGCTGATTCTTAAGATTACAAATATGAAATGCTCCTTGCCAGAATGGTTGTGACTACTCACATCATCCTGAAGATCCACGTCACAGCTTGCTTTGAGCAGAATCTGGACCACATGGAGATGACCTTTGTAAGCTGCAAGATGGAGAGGTGTCCGCCCATGCTGGAAAGCAGAAAATACCAACTGCTGAACAAGTTTTAACACCAAAGGTTGGCACACATCACTGTAAAAGCTATAGTGTACAACGTAATTAATTGAAAGGAAATGAAGGAAATGATATTATATTTCCAAGCCCGCTGAAACAGCTTGAATCTGTATTTCAGTATTTTAACCACAAAGATGTAATTTAAGTCATTTTACACTTGGCACTTAATAGTCCTCTTTAGGAGCCTCTCAGAATAAAACTATACATATCATTTGAGAATAAGCATTGCTGTAGTGTAGTTTTTAAAAAGATAAATTTAATGCAAGGTGCAAACATTCATATATGCACAATGTGATTGGATTTGACTATGTTTTAAAAAGAAAACAGGAAAAGAAAGATTTTGCGTAAAACAGTGTTCAGACTCCAAGATATGGTGGGAGCAGGAAAATCCACCTTACCCTGATCTCCAAAGGGAACTCAAATTTAGAAACTTGCTTTTATTTATTTTAAAATACTCAAAAGAATTCCAATTCTTTTTTGGGTGCCTTATTTGTTTTTGTGTGTCTTTGGTGCATGAGTATGGATGTGTATGTGCATGTGTGTATGCATACATGCATAGCCTTTTATCCACATGGACAACTCCATGCTGTTTACTTGGCAACATTTTAGAAGTACTTTGACATTACTTTCCTCCTAGAGGTGAGACTGATTGATTGGTCCAAAGTCACCAGCTGGCTTCAACCCTAGGACAGAACTAGAACTTCGGTTTTCTCTCTCCTAATCCAGCACCTGAATATTGAACATTGCTGACTCTTCACCCTTACCCTCACAAACAGACTTACTTTCTGCAGACCATTGGTGGTCCATTGAGGTGATCCACCACAGCCTCCTCATATTTATCAACTATCAGCTGACCAAAGCCTACTTCATGAAAATAGACCATTTAATAGAAGAATGCAAGCATTAATATCAATAGTGCCGTTAATACTCAACGTGAGAAAACTGACAATGTCTGAACTGATTTTGAGTGCAGTTATCAATGGTGAGTCAGCCACTCACACACACCAACCTCAAGTAGTGCTTGAGAGCAATCTTGCTCACGTTCCAGTTCTGATTCTTCAGCAAATGCCTGACATAATTGCAAGTCCAAGTGGTAGGGAAATCCCCAAGTGCTTGCTAGAATCCATTTGGATTCATAAGCACCTAATTGGACCATCCTGATTAATCCTCCCACTCTGAGGAGGACCGGGGTGACAACACATTTCATCTGGACCAGGAAGTGATCTGACTATGGCAAAGAGCTCAAAGCAAAGTCCTTAATTTTCAGTCCACACAAGTAAAAATGAGTTTTTACATATGTCCACTTATGTGATCAGGCAAACCTGGTGGCAAACCCATGGTTACCATGAAGACCATGAACTCCTAAGTCTTTCCCACCACTGACCTGACGGCATAGAGGCCAAAATCTCCAAAAATAACTGGGGAACTCCAAACAACCCAGTCATAAGGTCCAGAAGCCTAGGAAGGAGTCTACCAGGCAGCATGACATATGGTCCATATGTCCCAAATATCTTCCTACAGTTTAACTTTGTACTTCAGAAGGTCATATCATAGTTCCAGAATATTGGCACAACCATCATTTCTTTTCTTGGGGTCATGACAAAACCAAGGAATGCAAATATCTGAAATGGCTACAATCACCACTTTTAACTAACAAAATCCATGATCTACCCATTCATACCTTCAAACCCTTATATGGCAGCATCTTCATTTTTAGGGGTATCATTACTTAATTTACCTGCAGGGTTACCTCTGTCCCAGAGGTGGGTTCCTACCAGTTCGCACCTATTCGGTAGAACTGGTTCGTTAAATCTACCGAACCGGTTAGAAGAGGTTCCACCAGTGGACCCGGAAAGCAGGCCACACTTACAGAAGAGGTTCCAAAAATTTTTGAAACCCACCACTGCTCTGTCCCATGTAAAATGTAGCTATGACTCATCAAGATCAAAATGCAATTTTCTTACCAATGGTAGTTTTGATGATACATTAAATGCACTACTACATCCCTTGATTCAATCATGCTTTTCCAATAACTGTCATTAAAGCAACAGGTGGGCCAAATATAAGCCATACATTTCTCTCCTGGATGACCAAGACTTCACATGAGTTGTTGTTAATCAAGAGGGAAGACAATTTAGATGGTTCCCAATGTACAGTACCTAATAATATCACCTCATGCTGAGGTAAAACTAGATGAGGCTTTCGCATAATGTCTGTGATAAAATTGCTAAAAAGGTTATTTATGCCTGCATTTCCCTCTCCACCAAGATTTATAGGAAGGTGAGTTCAGTTACAAAATAATTTATAATTTGCTGACTGGATCAAGGACATCGGCAAAGAAGCATTTTGCTTGACTGGATAAAGTAACAGTCCATTTTCCAAGCCTTCAATTATCTTTCTTTATCCTTTCAATTATCTCCCCACCCCCCAAAAAAGGAAAGGGCCTTGCCTAAAAATACCTAAACAGAAGGCCCAGATGGTGATCTCTTTCTTACCATACTGTTTTGAGCCCCGAATATGTACTGACATATAAGATCTTATTCAAGACGGCAGTATTGTAAGTAACCAGTTTAGCCAGGCTGACAGCGTTGATTTTATTTAGAATAGTAGGTACGCAACTGTTGCCTTTCTTTGGTTTTTCTGTGTTTCCCCCTTTTCCAATGATATCTAAAATATTATTCCAAATATCTAAAGATTTCTCTGCACCAATTTGAAAAGGATAACTCTTATTAAAATCTTCCTTGTGGGTAGAGATGCATTATATATTGTTACAGAGCTGTCTCTGTAGTTCAGGATTGGCAGAAGGTCTACTATTTGGTTCTATATTTGAATGATAAAATCTGAAGCACCTTCTGCTCTCTTTTCCTATTTCTGGGATGAATGGAGAAGTCCTTGAAGAGATAATACAGTAAGTCCCCAATTAGATAGTCTACTCTAAACTAAGCCAAGGGACTGCTCTACCATTTCTCATCTTGGGAAGACAGATTTTGCCAGTAAGGCTTTTACATCGCCTCCTCTCCCAACTTGTTATAATGTCTTATTCCTGCTTATTTAGACATGATCTCTCACTGAAGATGAACATAATATCTACAGTACTCTGCTGTAGATATACTAGACAGTGGATAATTCTGCCTCGATGTTTACCTCTGTCATTTCACTGCAATCCATCATACCACCTCCCCTTCTGTAAGCAGCATCGCTCAAAAAGCCATTTGGACAGGGATGGGCTTCAAAAATTGAAGCAACAGGTTCGCTGCCCCGTTGCTAAGTGGGCGTGGCCATAGTGGCCATGGTCTAGTCAGCCTCCTGCAACACGGTGGGGGCGGGTCGTTTTTCAGCCTCCCCAGGCTCCAGAGGCTTTTCTCGAGCCTCTGGGAGGGCGAAAACTGCTTCCCCCCAGGCTCCAGAGGTCCTCCAGAGGCCAGAAACAGGCCTATTTCTGGACTTCGAGAACTTCTGGTAGGCCCGTTTTTTGGCTTTCCCAGCCTCCGGAGGCTTTTTTTGAGCCTCCAGGCGAAAATTGCTTCCCCCAGGCTCTGGAGACCCAAAATAAGCTTGTTTCCGGACTTTCGGAACCTCCAGTAGACTGTTTTCCCCCTTCCCTGAGCCTCTGCACGGGCCCTGCATGATGAACGGGCCACATGGAGGCTCCTGGGAGGGGAGGAAAGGGGAGGGGTGGGCGGAGTGGGCATGGCCAGCCAGGGTTGGAATTTGGGGGTTCGCCGAACTGGGCAGAATTCTAGCTAAAGGATGACCTGAACCCATGCAACCTCCCAGCAGCCCACCCCTGCATTTGGAAATTGTGCAACATACACTTTGGAGCCAGGAGATCTTGAAGTAAATTCTAAATCTTAAATTACAGATATTTAAATAATTGGAATGGAATAAAAATGAAAGGAAGTTCTTAACTTACTTCAACAGCTACCTATGTAGATATTTAGCATGCAGATTAATATGATTATGTATATTTAATACAGGTAATCCTCAACTTGCAACAGTCCATTTACTCACCATTCAAAGTTACAACGCCACTGAAAAAAGTGACTCATGACTGTTTTTCACACTTATGATCACTACACCATCCCTATGGTCACATGATCAAAATTCAGACCCTTGGCAACTGGTTCATATTTATGATGGTCACAGTGTGGGATGATGTAATCACCCTACACTGGGATGATGTAATCACCTTTTGTGACCTTCTGACAAGCAAAGTCAAGGAGGAAGCCAGACTTAACAACAACGGTGTCACTAACTGAACAACTGAAGCCATTCACTTAACAAATGTGGCAATTGTACAATGGGGCAAAACTCACTTAATAAATGTCTCACTTAGCAACAGAAATTTTGGAGTCAATTGTGGTCGTAAATCAAGGACCACCTGTACACAATTGAACTCTGGACTTTATTTTCATAATTTGTTTAGCTGTTTTTCTTTTCGGTAATTATTTGTTTATTTATTTAGTGTACATCCCGCTTTTATTACTGTTATAAATACCTCACGGCGGTGAACATATCTAAACTCCTTCCTCCTCCTATTTTCCCCACATCATCAATCATGTGAGGAGGGTTGGGATGAAAAAAAGAGACTGGCCCAAATTCATTCAGCCAATTTTCATGCCTAAGGTGGGACTAGAACTCGCGGTCTTCTGATTAATTTGGTCTAGTACCTTAACCACTAGACCAAATTGGCTCTCTCATTATTCCCAAATAGTAGCCTCTGGTTAGGTTGTACAAAATGTATGTCATCAGAAGTAACAACCTTTGCTTTTTTGGAACATACCATAGCATATTAGCTTGGTTAGTTAACAAGGTTTTACTTCCAACTCATGGCTTACAGTCAAAGAAATCCAAACCACAAAATTCCATTTTAATGAAACCTAACTGCATAATGAGCATGGAATTTCAACTGACAATTGTGCAATACTATTTTACCTGAGAGGGAGAACTTTCTGGC